AGGCAGTGGAGTTTCCCCCACACCATACTTTTCCAACTCCTGACATAGATTTTAAAATATTTCTTAAGATAGGGTTCTCACTATGTTGCCCAGGTTGGCCCCAAACTCTTGGACTCAAGTGATTCTCCAACCTCAGCCTCCCAAGTACCTGGAACTTACAGACATGCACAACCATGATCAGCCGTGATGAAGAATTTTATAGTTAAAAAACAAACCTGGGCTGGGGCTGTAGCTCAGTGGTAGAGCGCCCACCTCGCATATGTAAGGCACTGGGTTCGATCCTCAGCACCACATAAAAATAAATAAAGATATTGTGTCCATCTACAACTAAAAAAATATTTTAAAGGGGGTGGGGCTGGCATTGTGGCTCAGTGGTAGAGCACTTACCTCGCATGGGTGAGGCCCTGGGTTTGATCCTCAGCACTACATAAAAATATATAAATAAATGAAAATAAAGAAAGATATTGTATGTATTAAAAAAATAAATAAAAATTAAAAAACCTCCATTCAGCCAGGTTCAGTGGCACAGGTCTGTTATCCCAGTGATTCGGGAGGTTGAGGCAGCAGGATCACATTTTCCAGGCCAGCTTCAGTAACTTAGTGAGACTCTGTCTCAAAATAAAGAAAAAGGTCTTGGGATGTAGGTCAATGGTAAAGTGCATCTGGCTTCAGGCCCTAGTACCAAAAAAATAAAAATCCTCTCTTCTGACAATAGGATTATATTGGTAGAGAATGAGTACAGAACTGAGGCAGGTGGTAGGGCTGAGCAAAAGGAATTTAAACAGAAGTGATAACATCTACATTGAATGCGCTTTTGTCTAAATTAATGAGCTACTTGTTAAAGGGACTAAGAACATAACTGGTAAATTATTATTAAAAGGATGTGTGCAAGTCAAAACAATAGTCCATATTATGCCTTCCTTGCTTAAAGTCTAAAAGTTGAGACTTAGAGATGTTAAGAAAATTCCTCGAATCACACAGCCTGGTGAAGCCATAAATGACTCTGAAACCCACATTTCTACAAGGCAGGTTTTATTGTCCACCACCCTACTTCTAAGGAGCAGGTGGGTATTCCCAWACTGGGATGCTTTCTTTACTGGGTGTCATAATGAAATTGGATATAACACAACACTCTTGCTCTTTGACAAGCTAGGACTTCCAACTTGTAGGAAGTCAGAACTTCACTCATGTGAAATCCATCCTCTGAAATGCCCATAGGACGCAGGGATGAGAGACATGGGGTATCCAACCRTTCAGTGGCACCCCATGATTGTCAAGCGAGCTCTGCTGAAGTGGCCTGCTAGGGCTGTGTCCTGTTTCAAGGCTCCCTTCTCATGCCCTCTTCTGTGACCTTCCCAGACAAAGAATCATGCCATAATCAAGAGTAGAACATTTCAGGGGCTTCCCCTTGAGAACTTGGCAAACATTATATATGTTTCCAAATTGGTTCTAACCAAGCCTGGAAGATAAGGTATCTAAATGGTAAGCATTTTATCACCACTTAGTGTGTTGGTTTAGGTACTTTGTATATAGTCTTTCTAGTTCTGACAACAATCCTACAAAGCAGATGTAATTGTCCCTATTTAACCAATGTGAAAACTGAGGAGAAAGATAACATTTATATAGCTCTTTTATAGATTCGATTAATCTTTTTKTTGTTGTTGTTGTTTCAGGGATTGAACCTAGAGGCACTTTACCACTGAGCTACATCCCTGGCCCTTTTTATATTTTATTTAGACACAGGATCTTGCTGAGTTGCTTAGGGCCTCACTAAATTCCTGCAGCTGGCTTTGAACTCACAATCCTCCTGCCTCAGCCTCCCGAGATCCTGGGATTACAGGCATGTGTACTGCTCCTGGTGATTTGATTAATCTTTGAGGGAGGCAACTTAATAGGATTCCGTGTAAAGAGGGGGAAATGCAGGCTTGGAGAGGTTRACTTGACCACCCTATTCATCTCCACCTGAATCCACACCTCTCCAGATGCTCAGCTTTGTGAGGAAATGAAATATATGAGTTCAATTCAGGATCAGACAAAGCCAGGTCCAAATCCCAGCCCCACCTCTTACCAGCCATGTGAGCAATTGCTCCTTTTCTCCACGGAGAGCAATCCTTGGAGTCATTCTACATGTCTTATAAGGCTTCTGTTCTGGSTTATTTTGTAAGGACATGTACAAATTGGGTTCACCTCTCCACAAGCCCCTGTGGGACCTGTGGAGCAAAACCATGAACTTCATGTGCCTACTGTGCCATGAGTAACAAGGTCCTTTGTTTCTGTCCCAGGAATCTTGTGTCAACATCTGTGACACAGACTGTGGCAGGCTCACTTGCTAGCATATAAGTGGGATAGAATTCCAAACCCTTCACAGTTCTTAATACTATCACCCAATGTCAAAAAGATCTGTCACTCTCTCTTTGTCATCCCCCATGCACCTCAACTTCCTGCTCTGTGGTATCTGGTTTGGGTACTATACTAAGCTACTTTTGCCAGTTTCACCAAAGACTGACAATCGACAGTTTCCATAGGTATCTGACTCTAGTAGGAATCCTTCTGGACCTCTGAGGACTGAGCACAAGRGCACATTCTCCTGAAGTGCTCTGCTAGTAGCTTACACTAGACCACTTTCCTGCCTCTGCTTTTTGGCCTCCTTCATGGACTATTTTTCTCAGAACAGCACCATTACTTGCCAGCTTCTCTTCTGCCCTCCCTGGGAAATCTCAGACTGTTGGTTTAGGATCTTGCATATGGTGATGATACCCTAAATTCTAGCTCCTGTCTAGACCTTTTGACATGACCTATCCAGCCACCTGTTGAGCAGCTCTGCCCCACAATCAAGTGGTAGAAAAATAAACCTGTCCTTCCTTGGCCCCACACCAGTTAAAACCTCCCTGTTGGATCCATTCTCTGGGGCATATGTAGCCACCTTTTTGTTCCAGGCAGTCGGCCTTGACCCTTTGCTGTCTTCACACCCCAGAGCCATGTCATCCTTGAGTGTTGATTCTTTGACTCTGCTTCCAGAATCCATAAGCTTCCCCATAGGGCCCATTTCTCCACCATTGCTCTCTCTTTCTGGTCCCAATCCTCCCTGCCTTGGGTAAATGCTTCCTGCCTCCTCCTGGTCCCCACCCTATTGTTGCTAGAGTCATGTTCTTCAAATATTAACCAAATCATGTTATTTCCTTGTTCTCCTTACAGTCTACTTTACTATAGTTCACCATGGTCTCTGATGCTCTTCCCCTCATACTCCCTTGACTCCCCTCCCTCAAGGATTTCTTCCATCCCTCTCTTCTGGTCAGTACCACTCAAAACAGAAAAGAGGTGGGGAGAAGGTATCTCAACATAACACTCATGAAATGATTCTAACTGCTTTTAATTTTATATCTGGAACTAGTAAGTCATAAAATGTTGCATTAACTAGACACATATGTTCTTCCTGCCTCGAATCCATATGAGTATGCTCAGTCTTTCTTTAAAAATAAAATTACAGTTTGGATCAGGTGCCACATGTCCACCCCATTATTCCTATCAAGTTTCTTTGGTCCTCAGGATCCTCTTGAAAAATAAGCTGAGTGATTCCCTCACTCTACTCAGCTAAGGTTCAGAAAGCCTAGTTTTCTTGGTGATATATCCACATAGATGTCTATTTAGTATTCATGTATACATRAATATTATATATACATATTGTATGTAGATGCTGCATTTTTTATTTCTGCATCCTCTAAGCAAATAAACTATCCCTTATGTATCCACCAGGAGGCGCCGGGGGGCAGCGAAAAACCTGCGGTACCTTCACGGTTGTAGAGGTGGAGATGGATGCAGCAGCGATGGAACCCGGCTTCCTTTTTTAAGAATCGCTGAGAGCGAAGGGAACACAGCTGCTTTATTTTAGGGAGAGTTTGTCGCACTCCCCCTCCTGCGTGTAGGTAGTGTCTGGGGTGTTTGCACCCTGCTTGCGGACCCCATGGAGAGGCGCAGGCGGCGGCAGCTGGGGCTCCTTTCGTGGCTGCAGCCCGCAGTAACCCGACCCCACCAGTGCAGAGACTGAAGAGGCTCGAGCGAGAGCGGAGCTTCGAACAAAAGCCCTCAGCGCGGCCGGAGCCCGGGACGTGGGGTGAGTGAACCGATCTGGGAACCCAAAGCGACAGGCACTGGCGCGGCTGGGCTCACTGCACTCAAGGAGCCCAGCCCGCGGAGATGCGGTGGGAGAACTGGTGGGCATCAGGGGGCGGGTGTTCTAGCCCAGACGAGTGGAGGATACCTTTAGCACATTAGACTTGGAGGAGATTGGGTGCATGTGGGAGGCTGCAGGCGCCTTCGGCATCTCCTGTAAACACCCGTGGGGGGTGGAGGGGGCAGGCAGAGCTCCTAGCAAGCCCTGCCCAAAAGACACGAGCAAGAAACCATCGCCCTCCTGCAAGGGTCTTTGGGGATTTCTTTCAGTCCTTCCATCACCCGGGGGCCCCGAGCACAGATCTCCTTTGGGAGTGGAAATCAAGTGTAAACTTCTTCCCGAGGCAAATGGGGTCCTTGCAGCAATGCACTTTGGGATGAACAGGCCTCTTCCTTTTTTGTTCCTGCAAAGCTGCATCCCCGCAGCCCGCCTAAGCTACAAACAAATACACTAATCCGCCCGGGAATCCTCTAGCGCCTCCCCCGATGGATGCTGCCGGCACTAGTATCTTTTCATTTTAACTTGCAGTAGAATGGGGATGCATCTAGAGGGCTAGATGCCCAGGGGGCCTAACCACAGGACTAGCATTCCGGGGCCGAGGGAGATTGAGGCTGCTCTGAGGACGAGTTCCCTCCCCCCGCCCCCAGCCTGGATTTTCAGGGCATCGGTTTTACGATTTACGTTCCACCAGGCCTCTGAGCCTAATCTGAAAGCGGATTAAGTTAGGAGGGGTGAATATGGATGAGGAGGGGAAAACAGTTCTCAGCTGTATTCCTCTATGTCCCTCCTTGTCATTCGCAGAGACTCCAACAAAGGACGAGGCTCAGCCATGGTGGACCCGGTGCCTGAAGAGGAGAAGGAGGGAGCCGAGCCCGGAGGCTCGGAAGGGGACGGGGCCACTGCGTCTGTGCCCCCCGACGCCCAGGGCGCCCAGCAGCCCGCAGCCTCCTCTGCCTCGGCCTCCGCGGCGGTGCCGCACAAGGCAGAAGTCCCTGGCTCAGCAGAAGGAGGACGACGGGAGCAGTCCCCGATGCTGCACCTCGACCTCTTCAACTTCGACTGTCCCGAGGCTGAGGGCAGCCGCTACGTGCTGACCAGCCCCCGCTCGCTAGAGGCCTGCGCCCGTTGTGCTGTCAAGCCCGTGGAGCTGCTGCCACGGGCCTTGGCTGACCTAGTGCGCGAGGCCCCTGGCCGCTCCATGCGGGTGGCCACTGGCCTGTACGAGGCGTACGAGGCGGAGCGGCGCTCCAAATTACAGCAGTGCCGGGCCGAGCGCGAGCGAATCGTACGCGAAGAGAAGCGGCGCCTCTTCACGCCGTTGGGCCCCGCGGCTGCAGCCGCCGCCGCTGCGGCCTCAGCCTCAGCCCCAGCTCAGAGCGCGGGCAGCAGCAGCAGTTGCAGCAGCACCAGCCTCCCCGCGTCACCCGCACCGCGTGCCGCCCGCAAGACCTCTCCCAGTCCTTCCTCTGCTCGGATCCAACCTCCTCCMGCAGGTTCTCGGACAGGAAGAAAGAGCCACTCGCTGGACTCGCTGTCCCGCCGGCGTGACGGTGCTCTCAGYTCCGAGTCCGGTGCATCGTCGTCCTCCTACAGCGGGGAGAGCCTTCGAGAACTTCGCTGGCCGCCCCGGGCCTCAGCCAGGAACAGCTGCCCGGCAGGGTCAGCGTCCTCTGTCTCCAACCCTTTGGGCCGTCCTTCGGCGCTTACCCTGGTTCCACTTACAGGCCGAAGCTTCAGCCTTGGCGACCTGAGCCACTCTCCGCAGACTGCTCAGCACGTGGAGCGCATCGTACGCCAAGTGCGCGCCGAGCGAGGCCTGCGCGGGGTGCCAGAGCGGGACCGGAAGATCGCTGCTCTCATGCTAGCGCGGCACCAAGAGGAGCGCCTGTTGCTGGAGCAGCGCGCCGCAGCCCACGGCCAGTGGGAGCAGCAGCGGGTGCGTGCCGAGCAGCGGCGGGAGCGGGAGGAGCGCGAGAAGCAGCGCGCCCTAGAGCAAGGCCGGCGGGCCTGGGCTGCGCAGGTGGAGGAGCGACGCGGCCGCCGGGGCCGCGAGGAGCGTGAGGCAGCGCGACGGCGACAGCAGCAGTGCGAACGCAGCGAGGAACGACGACGGGAGCTGGCCGAGCGCCAGGGCCTACTGCGGCGGGAGCGGGTGGAGCGCGCTGCTCGGGAGGACCGGCTGCGTAAACTGCAGCAGGAGCAGAACCTGAAGCAGCGGGAAGAGGGCCTGCAGGAAGGGCGCGAGCGGGCTGAACAGGTCCGCAGGGAGCGCGCCCAGCGAGCAGCCCGCGCCAAGCAGCGGCAGGAGGGCCAGCTGCAGCGCGAGAAGCGGGAGTTGAGTCGTGCAGAGCGAGCGCGACACGAGGCGTTGTTGCGGGGTCGAGCCCGGCAGCAGCATGAGGAGAGAGAGGGCCTGCGGAGCTCCCTGGAGGCCAGCTTGGGCCGCGCGCAGGAAAACTATGAGCAATTGGTGGAACAGCGCACCCGGGAGCTGAGGGAGAGGGCCCGGAAGGAGGAGTTGCAAAGCCGGCGAGCCAAGGAGGCCGCGGAACGCAAAGAGCGGGAACATCAGGCTCACCTGGAGGCCCTGGCTCGGGCCGGGGAACGACGGCTGCAGCACGCCGCGCAGGTGGCCGAAGAGGCAGTGCAGCAAAAGGCCCGGCGCGTGGGCCAGACCCGGTTGGAGAAAGAGCGGGCCCAGCGCGCTAACAAGGAGAAGGTGGAGAGAGACGAAGACTGCCGCCGGAGGGAACTGCTCCAAGCAATAGGGCGGAAGCTGGAGCGCAGCGAGCAGCTGACGCGGGAACGACGCAGTGCGCTGGAAAGTGCTCGCTCCACAGCCCGCGCCTCCTTCCACGTGCGTGAGAAGGTGCGAGAGGAAACCAACACACGCTCCTTCGACCGAATGGTGCGGGAGGCCCACCTACACGCCAGCCTCGACCGCAAATGATTGCTGMGCTGCGCTGGCCAGACTGACACAGAGTCCCAGGGCGGAACTCCAGGGCCAGCACCATGAACTCCCTAGCCTTCTGGCCAACGAAGCAATGAAAGGACAGACATGGAACTTTTCATTCTGCACTGTTTTTTTAAAAAAAATTACTTCGTTTGGAGATGCCGTGGCACAGTCTTTGCCTACATCCACCCTTGCCAAACCTCCCTATGTCTTTTGGGTTGGAATAGAGTGTAGCTGCATAGGAAGCTCTTCACCCCTCAAGAGCATGGAGGGGGACACCCCTTCAAACGCAGTTGCCCAAGGCATCTTTCTAATACTGGTGTCTGAGAAGGCTTTCAGTTGCACCAGCTGAGGGGCATCAGGATTACCTCCATCTTTCAAAATATGGCACATTGCACAAAGCTTGGAGGCCTGCCAGAAAAGCACAGCACTTCCAAGGTGTCAGGCCATGCACAAAGTGAACCAGAAAAATCATTGGTGTTTTGTATGCTTGACTATCAGTCCGTCACCAGAGCAAATTGTATTATTAGCTCCGATACTTTTTCAGTTGAATCCCTTAGGTTTTCTAGTTAGACAATCATCTGCAGATAATGATCAATTTGTCTCTTTCTCTCTCATTCTCCCAAGTGGCACAGGAATTGAATTGGTTTGGTGATGCTGTTAAGCTTTAATGGAAATCCTGGGCCCAGGAGGTGGTGGTTTCCTCAGGCAGCACTGTCTACCCATGAAGCTCCTTGCAGGATGACTTGGGGTGGGCAGTGGTGTCTGATGCTCACCTCCCAGTGTGAAGCCCATGCCTGGCAGACAGCAGCCATGCCTTAAGCAGAGCTACCTTATGTGCCTGCCCAGGCCGTTCTTGCCTAAATCTTCAGCCCTGGATGCAGTCTCAAGGGTGGGCCCCAGAGTTTGGAGTTAGGGATTCCCTCTGTGAAGGGATCAGCTCCACCACTCTGAAGACAATTATGGTATCCTTGGCTGCTGTCCTGTGGTGGCTGAAGAGCTAGACTTGTCTCCGTGTTGAAAGTTGTGCTCACTATTGTTGGTAGAGTCTCACCCCCTCCCTTCCCAGGAAAAAGAGAGTCTCTCCCTTAAATTTCTGGTACCTTCTCAAGTATGACTGAAAGTATTTAATTTATCTCTTGGTGCCTCACCTTTCCTAACTGCCAGATGGGGCCATCAGAACTCCTCTTCTGGTACCTCATGGTCTCCTGGATCCAAAGCGCGGCTTCAGTATTATTTGTTGGACATCTTTGTGCCTTTCTTGACCTGGAGTTGGGAGGCAGAAGGACTGCTGTGAGCCTAGTTTGTTTCTGGGAATATGGATTCCTGGCATTGGAAGGGGCAGTACATCATGGACAGACGGTCTTTTAGACTCTGGCAGGAAGTACTTGCAATACCAGGCCACACCCTGGTCCAAAAGGCTCAGTTATCACCAGGCAATTTTAACCCTCAGAGCGCTTTCCTTCCATGAAGCTGAAATTGCCCCTGCTATATCCATCCATTAACTCTGCCTTCATCAGGGAAGGTGGGAAGTAAAACATTACTTTTTACATTAACTCAAGKTCAGGAAATAAAGAAATTACCAAAAAAGAAGAAGGAATCAGGGTAGAGAACTATTACATTAGACATTTTCACGCATATTCTGCTGGGCAGAACTGACCCTAAAATGGCTGGTTACATATGCACTCACTCACACGTACTTTGCCAACTCATCACCCCACCCCATTACATGCTAACAAATACAAGAGTATCGTATTATGTGGAAGGAAACAGTGGTTAGGTGTTTCAATTGAGACAGTGATGCCAGGAMAGGAGCTGTGTGCCGAGGTTTAGTTCTTGAATGGATGAATTTTTCCCTTAAAATTTCTCCTTGTTGGTAACCAGGTTGTCAGTGAATTGTAATCATTGGTATTGTCTGTGAGTCAGAGCATTTAACTAAAAAGTTAATGTGATTCTGGTTCTTACCTTGTGGTTCTTGAGTTGTTAAAGGTTTTCTGAAACCTTCATAGAAAGTGTGGAACTTTGAAGTGGCCTCAAAACTACTTACTTTAGTGTATGTGCTTTCATATAAGGGGATAATCTGGTTTTGTTTTGTTTTGTTTTTTTGACAAGTTACTAATGTACATGGGTGATCCTACCTGGGTCTGAGCCCAGTTTGTTTTCTGACTTACTGAGTGACTTCAGGTAGATCACCTTTCTTTCTATGCCTTGGTTCCCTCATCTGCAGAATGGGGATCATGATTCCTTCTCTCCCTTTCACACAAGCACTGTGATGATGAATCAGAATCCACATGACCTTCACAGTTCTATCACTCTAGAACTGCAGGCACAATTGCTATAAACAGTAAGGGTCATGTGACCACAATATAATTAGAGTATAATGTGCAACTGTGACCTATTACAGAAGGAATGGCCTTGAAAGGCACATTGCAGATGATAGTGTCACATGTGGTGTGAAGGCTCAGGCCCAAATGTCACCATGAGAGACTTGTGCCAGACATGGTGGTGCATACCTGTAATCCCAGTGATTCAGAGGCTGAGGCAGGAGGATCGAAAGTTTGAGACCAGCCTCAGCAACTTAGGCCCTAAGAAACTTAGTGAGACCCTGTCTCAAAATAAAAAGGGCTGGGGATGTGGCTCAGTGGTTAAGCACCYCTGGGTTCAATTATCAGTATTAAAAAGAGAGGGGGGGAGATTTGCACTAAGAATCACTGGTAAAGACAAAAAGGCCCTTTGAATTCTTAAAAAAAAAATCCATATAGCTAAGTAAAATTCAAGCAAAAATAGAAGCCAAACCTAGTGGCAATATGGAACGGTCTCTCCAAATTCCAGACCATTCACTAAAATATAGACCCACCTCTGTTTTCTAGGGAAATGTTCTTGGTACTTTCTAAAGAGGAACAGTTTTTAGAATCTGTTGGACCTTTGATTTATATTCTTTTCTTTGAAATGATGCCAGAGAGGAAAGATTGTTTTGTATTCTAAAATATGGCAAGAGAACATTGGAGGGGGCATGATGGTGGGTAGGAAACAGCCCCCTGATGTATATTCTACTGGGCGGTACAGGATTCTAACAAGTGTCCAGAATTGGGCAGAAAGTGCCATGCTGGAAGTTTTCTTACTATCCAAGGGATTGCAGCCTTGAAGTGGCCACAGACCTTCACATTTACCTTGTCCAAAAAAGAGAGAATGTGAAGGAGTTGGGGGGTGGGGGGAGGAGTGGAAAGGGTTGGAAGAAGCTTTAGTTTAGTTGTTACCAGGGAAACAGGACAAAACCATTTAAGAGGAAATCATTGGTGAAATTAGTCCAATGTCCTGCTCATGCAGTGACCAATGCCCATACCACAACTGGACAGGAAAATGGAAAATTCCTTGTAAGCACAGAGATCCTGGGCCTTCAACAGGGCAGTAAGGAGGATTTGCCAAAGCGAAGAGTCTGTAGGGTGGTGAAGATAGGTGAATTTCTTAGTCCATTYTGTGTTGCTAAAACAAGATACCCGGGGCTGGGTAATTTGTAAATAAAGGGTTTATTTAGCTCACAGATGTGGAGGTACCAGCATCTGGCTTCTGGTGAGGACTTGGTGGAGAATGACATTCCATGGTAGAGGCTCATGAGAGAGGTCACATGGCAAGACAAGAAGCAGGAAACTGGGGAGGGGCCAGATGTGGGTATTTTGGAAAGGTACATGAATGATTCTACCTGACCCTTAACCCAGTTTGTTTTCTGACTTATTATGTAACTTTGGGTAAATCACTTTCTATGCCTTGGTTTTCCCTACCTACAGAATGGGAATCATGATTCCTGCCCTCCCAGTCCATTCCTACAAGACCCAGTGCATTCTGCMAGACCAGCACTAGTTCATTCATGAGGGCGGAGTCCTGATGACTGATGACTTTCCTTTAGGCCCCACCTCTTAAGGGCTCCTTCACCTCAGCATCATCACACTGGGGACCAAGGTGCCAACACACAAACTTTTGGGGGCAAACCTTACTCAAGCTGTAGCAATGAGGATTCAGTTTGGCTGGGTGCAGTGGCGCACACCTGTAATCCCAGTGGCTCGGGAGGCTGAGGCAGGAGGATGGCGAGTTCAAAGCCAGCCTTAGCAAAAACCAGGCACTAAGCAACTCATTGAGACCCTGTCTCTCAATAAAATACAAAATAGGGCTGGGGATGTGGCTCAGTGGTCGAGTGACCCCGAGTTCAATCATTGGTACAAAAAAAAAAAAAGAAGAAAAAGAATGCAGTTAGTGTCAGGTCATTCTGTAAAGTCTGCCACTTAACTCCTCTCCTTTAAACACTGCCAGGCAAGTGTTCTACATCTCCAGCTCCTTTCTTTCCTTTTTTTTTTCCCTGTAGTGCTGGAGACTGAACCTATCACACATGCTAGGAAGATGCTGTACCATTGAGCTACACCCCATCCCTTTTTATTTTTTGGTACTGAGGTTTGAACTCAGGGGTGCTTAACCACTGAGCAACACTCTCAGCCCCTCCCCCCTTTAAAACATTTATTTTTTAGGTGTAGATGGACACAACACAATGCCTTTATTTTTATGTGGTGCTGAGGATCCAACCCGGGTCCCGCCGGTGCTAGAGGAGCGCTCTATCGCTGAGCCAGAAGCCCAGCCCCTCCAAGCCCTTTTAAAAAATTTTTATTTTGACAGGGTCTTCCTAARATGCTTAGGGCCTAAATTGCTGGGATTGGTCTTGGACTTGCGATCCTCCTGCCTTAGCTTCCTGAGTCTCTGGGATTACAGGCATGCACCACTACACCAAACTTTGTTTATTTATTTTTTAAATTTATTTTGGTACCGGTACCCGGGCACTCAACCACTGAGCCACATCCCCAGCTCTATTTTGTATTTTATTGAGAGACAGGGTCTCACTGAGTTGCTTAGTGCCTTGCTTTCACTGAGGCTGGCTTTGAACTTGTGATCCTCCTGCCTCAGCCTCCCAAGCCACTGGGATTACAGGGGTGTGCCATGGCGCCCAGCTTTAT